ATTATGATATTTGATACGTACAGAACCACAGATGGTTGTTGAGACTAATTATCACCTAATTTAGATATTAAAATAAATCCTTTGTTAAACTGACAAAAAGATGTTCTCACCCATGCGTGGTTGTCATCCTATTCTCTTTTTATGGCACGTCATTGTTTATGCATTCATGGCTTTACAGGGAGTCATCGAATTATCATTGACTGAAATTCATTAAATCATTTAGAAATATGGCTTTGGATTATTATAATTTTTGGAGGCAGAAATGGATTGTTCTTGTTCGACTTGCGTGGGTGTTTTGTCACATGTGTGCAAACAAGTCATAATATGATTAACAGTGGATATCATACCTCCTGTTTCAATTGAAATAAATATGTTAATACCATATTAGGCAATTAATCACGCTGGCTTCAACTACATGTGAACTGAACAAAAGAAAATAAAAGCATGAATGTGCTTTACAAAGACTCCTCTAGGCTTTTATCATGGATTAGGGACTCTGTGCTGGTGTTATTAATCAGTTACTCACATTTCTGATGTATGTGTGTTGCATTGCCAAATAATGCTGATGAATTCATCTCTCTACTGTATATTTGCTTGTGCAATTAAAGTCGACATGAAATGCAATGCATTTTACTGCAATCTGATGCTAGTCAACATGTCAGGACCTGATTTTACACAATGCATTGGATCGGGGACATCATGCATTAACCAGTAGACTTTAACATTTACTAGTCCAAGACATGAATAGGTGGAAAATAACCATCATTACTCATAACAGATAACACCACATTAGTCCTTCAGGAGAAAATGCTAATTGACAGCAATCTAAATGCAGCGTACGTCCTCAAAGTAAACTCAGTGCTATCCTGGGAGGCAAAAATTCATTACTAAGCCGAGCTATTATTACGATACGTCGAGAGCACTTCTTGCCCGTTGCAGCACTTTGCTTCATTTGACAAGAGACTAAATTAAACAAATAACATGGCTGAAATTACCGCTGACCCAATAATGGATCTGAACTAATAAAACACTGCAGTTGTGGAAGTCATGAGGGTCTGAACGCACTTCAGATTAAACGCTGGAGTCGTAATTATTACTAGTTTAATGTGTCCGCGCTGATTATTGTTCAAACTTATACGCAAATGATCTCTTGAAAGGCACCTGAAGCTTTAAAAGCACACAGTTCTCCTAAATAATCTGAACAAAAGCAAAGTTTTGGATTATAGTGTCACAAAGCCTCACATTTAATTTGCACTGTGAAGTTAAAAAGGCCATATTATGCCTTTTCACGAAGTCTTGCTTTTGCAAAGTCAGGTTTTGCTGCTTGAATGTTGATTATTGTCCTCATATCCTCCATTGTTGCGGCTCCTCTCTTCCCAGTCTGTCAGTAACGCTCTGTTTACTTCCTGTCTCTCCTTCTGAAAAGCACACTGTGCTCTGATTGGTCGGCTGGATCAGTGTGTTGTGATTGGCTGAGGGCTGAGTGTGTTTGGGGAATGTCCCACCCCTAATTTACCATAACAGCCAGTTTAACACACTACTAACTAACTCAACCAGGCCCCGCCCCTTTATTCTGCGCATTAATTATTATAATGAGGAATATTGTGACATGAAGAAACTCTAAACTACAATGGAGGCGTTTCAGGAGTTCAGAAACACTGATATAGAGAATAACTCAGCAACATTACACACTAAAGAAAGTCGAACATGGAAAAAAAAAGGGCATAATAGGTCCTCTTTAAGGATAAAGGACACTTGAAATGCTTTAATTAGCCTGTAGTTCACTGAGAACATTTCGAAAGCTCTCCACACAAACGTCACCGTCAGGATCTCTCATGGACGCCAACTTCCAGGCTTCCTCAAATGTCTCCTCAGCAACATTGAGACCCACTTTTTGGAAAATCTCTGCAATCTATATATGATATGCAATATACCTTTGATGAATGTGTTGATATTAACCTGTTTGGCATTGTAAACCCCCTTTGTATCATAATGTAGCATGACAGCGGTCTAAAACTCACCTGGTGTTTGGTGCGAGGGCTTAAAAACTCTTCTTCATGGACTCCGTAGAGGGAATGCAGAGGGGGGCGGAGCAGATCACGTGCTGTAGGTTCGTCTCCGTAGTTCGTCCGGTCACCGACGCGTTTGACACGAGGAGCGGGAAGATCGCTCCGTACTGAAGGTACTCCGTATATATGATCATCTATTCACGGGAAGCAATAAGAAGAGAATGTTTACAAGACTACGTTAACTTTCCTTAGTTGTGCTATTTTAATATTTGTTGTGTCCCAGGTCTAGGGTCTGAGAAAATAACACTCTGTAAAGCTTGACAGATCAAATAATACGCTGATTTCACGCTGCTGCCATTTTGAAATCGAAAGCGAAGCTCCGGTGGAAAGAATCCCGGAAGTACAGATGTCTTGGACTACCAACCTGAAGCTGCTGCCGCGATTTAAACTATTAGATAATAATAACCAATATAGGATATGTATATAGTTCGTTCCTGCTTCTTTTTATGTTCTGAATATAGGCTATTTTTTAAAAATGTATTTATAAATGTCACTGTATATATAGTCTAAACTATGAAAGAAATGTATGTACATTTTCAAAATAACAAATTTCTACATTAAACACAACGGGCGTCGTGACGTCATTACTGGCATGGCGGCCAGCTTACCAATCAGGGATGAGTTCCCTAATGAATATTGATGAGTCTTCCCCTACCATCCTGGGAAAAAAAATATCGCAGATTTATGTCAGACTACTGACATAAAATACATAGAAATATCAGTTGTATCAATAATATTTCTTAGTAAGAATCTATTTAAATGCTTAGTTTTATGACCAAAGTCTTTAGTTCTAAAACACATATATATACACAATGCATTACAATGACGATTGAGAGATAAACAAATAAACGCTCATCAAAAGCCTGATGGATAATTTTTTATTCATATGATTTGAAAAAAGTACTGTATAATCAAGTAAACCTCAGTTGCTTCAGTCCAGCGTGTTCATCTTTAAATATGACTAACAATATAAAAGTTATCCTTA